AAAATTGGGATTCTAAGATAAAAGTCAAAATTCTGAGATTAAAGCCAGAATTCTGAGATTAAAGTAAGAATTCTGAGATTAAAGATAAAATTCTGAGATTAAAGCCAGAATTCTGAGATTAAAGTAAGAATTCTGAGATTAAAGATAAAATTCTGAGATTAAAGCCAGAATTCTGAGATTAAAGTAAAAATTCTGAGATTAAAGACAAAATTCTGAGAAAAAAAGTCAGAATTCTGAGATTAAAGATAAAATTAGGAGATTAAAGTAAGAATTCTGAGATTAAAGCCAGAATTCTGAGATTAAAGATAAAATTCTCAGATAAAAGTCAGAATTCTGAGATTAAAGTCAAAATTCTGAGATTAAAGTCAGAATTCTGAGAAAAAGTCAGAATTATGTTTTTCCCCATCTTAAACTGAAATAATATTTAAAAATCAGTTTGTTTGTTTTTTTTTTCATTGGCCCTAATCCTCTTTTGTACCATTTTATAGACATTCTGTGTATATAAAATGACAATAAATGTTGTCTAAGTCTACTTTGTTTTATATTGTATGATATTTTTATATTTTTTATTACATATTTTTATATATATTATAGTGTACGATATACTGCAGCTTTCTCAGGGCTGCTCCCGACTCCCTGCCGTCCTCCTGACGGGTTCCACTATGAGGACGGACAGATTTGATGTCCTCTTTATCTAAATTATGTCTGTGATTCCATCCATCCATCCATCCATCCATCCATCCATCCATCCATCCATCCATCTTCTAACACATTTAATCCCAAGTTTGGTCGCGAGGGCTGCTGGGTCCTATCTCCAGCTGTCAATGGGTGAGAGGCAGGGTCCACCCTGGACAGAGAGGCAGGGTCCACCCTGGACAGAGAGGCAGGGTCCACCCTGGACAGAGAGGAGGGGTCCACCCTGGACAGGTCTCCAGTCCATCTCAGGGCAACACAGAGACAAACAGGACAAACAAACATTCATACTCACACCTAAGGAAAATTTAGAGAAGCCAGTTAACCTAACATCATGTTTTTGGACTGTGGGAGGAAGCCGGAGTACCTAGAGAGAACCCACGCACCCTCAGGGAGAACATGCTAACTCCATGCAGAAAGACCCCAGGATGGGAATTGAACCCAGAGCCTTCCTGCTGCAAGGCAGCAGTGCTTGTCTGTGAAACATTATTTTAAATAACTTTTAGTCTTATTTTAATATAGATTGTATAGTTCTGATTTTAGTTTTGTCTTTTATGCTTGTATGTTTTTTTTTTGAGTCTGTGTAATGGTGTTATGTTGTTTCACTCTACATCACTTTGATCCTTTGGGAAATTTTAAAGTGCTTTATAAATAAAGTTGGATTGAATTAATTAGCTGCAACAGATGGTTGACGGGAAACCAAGAGAAGCTTAAACCAATTTATTAGTTTAAGAGGTTTCACATTGGTGAATTATTTTTCAATTAATTATAGATCTGTAAGGTTAAATTTTGAACAATTGGAAAACTTTCACATTTCAACATTTACATGTGGACTTTTGGTAGTGATATGTGCTGATACACATTTATTTTTTGTATTTGTAGACTTACTCAAAGTTTTAATTCCTGCCCCAGTCACTTATAAAGAGTTGGTTTAATTGTTCAGCTGTTAAAGCCTCTAAAAGTCTGGAAATCTAACACTAGGGGGCGTGCTGTTCCCACTTTTAGTGTCTGACTGTCTTTGGAAATGTCATGTTTTTACAAATATCAGGGTGAGTATCTGCTGTTAGGGTCAGTGTTGTATAGTAACAAAGTAAAAATACTTCACTACTGTACATAAGTATATTTTGGAGTTTTTTGAGAACTTTTACTTTTAATTCACTACATTACTCCAATACATTTTCAATGTTTGGTTTAGTTACTAAGTAAAAAACAAACAAACAAGAGAAACGCAAATGTTTTGACTCCAACTAATGACTACAAAGTCGGGTCTTGGGTTCGTTCATCCACACCAATAGGATACGCCTGTTTGGCAAAGCCAGTCTACATTTATCCTACACTTGGTTGTTTATATTATTTTAAGTGAATTTAACCTTCAAAGTTTACCAAAATGTAAAAAAAAAAAAAACGTCATTTAAACTGCACTACTTTTTACTTATACTTTTCACTACATTACTTGAGTACATCCATTTTTTGTTATGTTGGGATTAAGATGTCTAACCCACATGCAGAAACACTCGGAGGCAGAGAAAAAGTTCAAAGGTTTATTTACAGAAATGTACAATAAATGAACTGGTCCAAGGGGGTGGTTGACTGGTCAGGAGTGGACAGGCAGGTTGGCTCAGGCCTTGCTAACCATTACTGGCAAACACTCTGGCGCTGGAGTGTAGGTCTCCGCCTCCTTA